CGCCCTCCATCACCATGGGGACAGCATACGAATGCTTAGCCCAGCACCCCTCCCTGTGGAAGCTTAAAGTCCTGGATTTCTGAAGAAACCCTCGCATGCAGTCACTAGGACTCCCAAGCGGATCTGAGGCAGGTACTAACACCTAAGGCAAAGCTGAAGCCAAAGGATGCCTCGTTGTTCAGTGGGTTTACGGCTACGTGCGATTGGCTTCGGATGCTGAAACAGCTCTGCGTTTGCCGTGAAGATCGTGGGGTTGCAGGCCTGGCCCGAATCCCTGTACCTACACCTCCCGGTTTCGTTCCTGCAAGGGCCAATCACAAGGAACCATGAACGAACCATGCCTGATGCTTCCCGAGGCAGTTTGCAGCCAGGCAACCCCAAGCAGGTAGCCAACACCTCCATGGAGCAACACCTGTCAAGTTCTTTCTGCACGGCAATTGTGGAGGGACAGGGAGTGTGAGCTTCGTGCAACAATCCAAAACATCTTGCATGCAGGCCAGTGCCCTCTCACTACATTTTGCGGAATTGGATGAATAAATGGCAACCTGCTTCTGCCCAGCAGGAGCTCACACAAGGTGGAGGCATATACTGGCTTCAGAGCAAGTTCAACCACCACAAGCCAGCACAAAGCCATCAATGCAATTATGGCCACAGACTGTGTGGCAGACCTTGCAAGACTCGATCCTGTATCCTAATATCGATCCCCCCAAGCGGCATAGGGCTCCAACCAGTGAACCCCAAAAAACTCTAGCCCAAACCGCCTTGTTAAGTACAGGCGCTACCATTTTTGCCAATTTGCTATGGGAGAAATCGACAGCTAACTGTGAGCTCGACACACATCAATATCTTGCCGCCAGTCAAGTGTTTGCTAACTGTAACGGCTCGATCCCAGACCAAGGCACGGCGAGGTAATGTTCGCCCAGCAGGCGACCTGAAGGTGAGAAGTAGTGAGAATGAGGCACGAACAAAGTTTCTTCTACATGAGCTCAGATCGCATCTGTGTCTCCATTCCAGCATTAAGAAAAACTGCATACCAATCAACGCTGTCAGCAAACCTCTCTGCCTCAGCTCCAACATGCAACACTGCTGCGTTACCCTCTTGCGTTCCTGATCTTGCCAGTATCTTCCGTGTCCCCCCACCCCACCCTGGGCACATAATGCCGCCGCTGACGCAACCACAACTACACAGTCAACAGAACAAGACGACAGCAACAAACCTAGATGCGCCGCCCCAGCGCAGAAAGGCATCAGCCACAACCAAGGAAACACTATCACACGAAGACAACCACTAATGCTCCCACACCACAGAGCCATACCACAGAGCCAGGTGGGGATGCCAAATACTAGAAAGGAGTGTGATTGCGATATCGCGTGGGCTGTACGAACCAACGTCACGTGACAGTGCTGTCTGGGACGCGCACTTGAACGACACTCACGACCGACCCGATTGAACAGAACACAACCCCGTGCTCCCTGCACAGGTTTCAAGCCCCGCTGCCTTGTCCACTTTTGGAAAGGTCGGACCTGGAGAGCCAGGCAAATGCATTTGCATTGCATCGGCGCCTTCCCGACAACATGCACTTTGACGGTGCGCTCTGCTGCAAACTGACTTACGGCATCTTTGCTGCACGCACTTGCACCACAACGTCGTGACAACACTCGGAGGTCAGGCGCAAAAGAATGCAGCTGGATCCGACTCTTGGGTCATCCTATGTCATCCTGCATCTTTATCAGAACCCTCGGGGCTTGTGGGAGCCGCACCTGGAATGCGGAATGCTTGGTGGAGCTGATCCACATGCCTGCGCCAGACGGCCTTTGATATTTCATGCTATGGGTTAAGGGCTGTGCCTTGTTATCCATGTCTCTATAGGAATACGAATCCCTTGGTCAAATTGTCGACCCTACTCTAGAAATCCTCGAACCCAAAAGCTGACCACACCGCATTGCTCCAGACACGGCACAGTGAGATTGATTTAGATTCACGAAATCTCAAAACTACCCCGAGCTCGGCGATGCTTTGTTGGGGGGGCAAGGGGAAGTGTTGCGGAGAAGCACCTTCTCAAGAGCTTCGGCGCTTCAACGAGCCCCATTGGTCTTGCATGTGTCTAAGTAGTAGGGTCGAGAAGTATGCTTCACTTGGGGCAAGATGGGAGCACAGGACTGCAGCCTGTGCTTGAAGCTGATACCAAAGAGCCTTTGGACCTGTCCGGCTCGTTGCTTGGATTCGTCGAAGGCTTTGCTTCTGGTTCTACGCGAGCATTGCCCCCAGAAAATTGCAAGTTCCTGCGCCTCGTCGCCAGGGAGCGACCTCAACCCAAAGTCTGGCCAGAGCCCAGATGGGCCCAGATGAGCCCAGATGAGACAAGAGCCGGCAGCAGAGGGATCGAGAATGTCTCGGTCTCGAGCGACACATGTGACACGCCCTGCTGGGGCTCCAGCTCAGGGTCATCCCACAACAGGGATCCCAACAGGAGGCAAAGTAAGTTGATGCCTCGGATGGGTGGAGCGGTTGAAGCCGTGGTCAAAGTCCGAAGTCTTGATCTTTATATACGTCCTTGCGCAGCTCCGACTACACCAAATGGGTCATTTACGCGGTGCCCGATTTCCCAGTCCATGTGAAGAAAGCAAATCTGGGGCCACGTCAGGCCAAGCCTCGGCAGAAGGCCGGAAAGCCGTAGCCTGAACTCACACGGCTACTGCGTGCTTGTCCCTAACTCATTCATCATCTTGCACACGAAGCCGTGCCCTGAGAACACACCCTCATTCGCATGCTGGCTGTTCGCTTCACACCTAGACCGCCAAGATTTCCTGTTAAGGCTCTGCCTTGTTTACGGGGCTCTTGTGGACCGTGCCTTGGCTGGCTCCTGTCATAAGATCCTGTTAACGCCAAAGAAAGGTATCCACCCATGAAACAAAATACCTCGTGAATCAAGAGGAAGCGACAGGATACCATCACCAGTAAACATTAAGCTCGTGAAGCTGTAACCTTGTAACACCTTGGAATCATGAGCCAGACCACCTTGACCCCTGACCCCATAAAGCTGATGAGTGGATGATGGGAATCGCAAGATCCGGCTTCTGTGACACTAAGGAACTGGCCCTGAAAAGTGTGAGCCAGGACTGGGCCCAAGAGGGCCTGCAAGTGGCGTAGTGACGTGTGCCGTTTTCGGGGAGTGAGGGGGGGGGGGGGGGGGTAGTTGGGATTTGGGTGCGAGGCCTGAGGCCTGAAGGCATCTGACAAACACACAAGGGCTGCGGCTCTTTCAGAAGCTGTTCTCACTCTTCTCAGCGCTTCCTCAACAAGTACCGAGCGCGCGGCACCGCCGTTGCAAACCACTCTCTGCAAGGCCAGGATGTAACTGAGCCTGGGCACCACGTGCTGGACCCCGCTCTCTTGTCAGCGGCAACGGCTTCGCCCTCTGGGCAAACATGTGAAAGTAGGTGTTTCCTTACAATACGAAGACTACTTGAAGAGTACCGCCTGCGCCGGTCGTGCCAGATTCAAACTCTGGGTGATCGTTAGCGTTGGGGAGTTTCGCTTTGAAAGGCCAACCTCGTGCACCGGTTCCCTCAAGCTGGGCCAGCTGCTGTTTCTCGTCTCGCGTATAATCCATAATATACGCCTCGAGCAAAGCTCCCAACCACCCAGACGTCAACACGATGAACGATGAAATGAAGTGGGGTATCACAGTCAACATTCACAAGTGGCCCCTTTCCAAGCCCCCGGGCCATCTCCACCGGACCAGTACTGGTCGCCAGGCCGCAGAAGCCCTGACACGTGATGCAACATGGTCACTTAGGAGACTTAGGGTTTAAGACGAAGCGGTTTGGGACTTCTGCCTTTACTTTTCTTACGAGCGCACGAAATCATTCTGTAGATAGCCCAACCCCAAGGCGCGGGAAGACTCGCGAAACATGCGTTCTCTCAGAGTTTCAAGCTAGCCTCACGTGGCCATCGCCGAGAGATAGCATCAAAGAAACGTTCACGGCTGGATTTGTGGGAACGGTGCTGCTTATGGCTGTGCTCTGCGGGAAGACTGCGGGAAGACTGCGGGAAGACTGCGGGAAGACTGCGGGAAGACTGCGGGAAGACTGCACGAAACGTGCAGAGTTTTGCCTATCATGGTCGCATGTTTTGGGCCTTGTGTGCTTTGGGGTTTTAAGTTCTGGGCTATCTTCTTGACATGTAGGGCACAGTTTCAAACGTAAACTTCAAGAAATGGACTTTGGATGGGGGGCCTGTGTTGTTATCGGAACGATACCCGAACGATACCGCCAACGATACTCCGGGACCTACCTGTCTTGGCAAGGCCCAGACCAATATGTACTCGAACCTGTGAGTGCGATAGGGGACGGATTCTTCACGGGTTGAACCGCCCTGGCATTCGCGCTTCAAACTTCAGAGTTGACCAATGTTGACCAACACACCAGCACACATACACGCGTACATATCATTGTACGTACATATCGGCACCCTTAGAACAAGTGCAAATTGGCGTTTCGATGCGTTTCGTGCGTGTCTCAAATATGGCATAGAAACGGTCACATATCTACACGCTGATTGCAACCGTGCCGTGGCGTTTCGTGTTCCACGTGCAGCTTGCGGAACTATAGCCTGGTAAGCACCACCTATACAAATCTTGCTGATTCCACAGGGCACACAGCGATTGGGTTATCTGTTGGGCTTGCGGTCTAATAAACCACATCGATCCAGTATCACATTCTCAATATAGACCCCCAAATAGAAAGGTTCCCAAATAAGGACCCCATTGTGGAGACTTGGGGCACATCTCAGCACACTCGGGCACGCACCCGAGCGAGAAGCAAGGCCTGGGAAATGCCAAAGACCCGCCCGAGACAGTGACTATGGTAAGATGGGCTATTTGGTTTGAAGGAGGTGCCGGCATCCCTTGGTAGCGTTTGTGCCCTCTTCATGCTACATTCTACGTCCTGGATCTTTGGAGCATCTTTGCTGTGGCCACTGCAGTGCTGCAAGGACTTCACCTGCCGAGATCCGCACGGCAGCAGTGTCCGCCTCTGCTTGAAAAGAGTTCGACAGGGCCTGCGGCCGGCGAGATGGTGCTGGCGGCTGGCTCACACAGGTTCACATGCTTCCAGCTGCCCGACATGACCGACATGCTGCACGCCTGCAGCAAAAGGCCTCCAAGCATGACCTGGCTGGCCGAACCCACGCACTTCAATCCATCGTCTTCGATGCAACTCCAATTCCTCCTCAATACTGAAAGGTCGGACCCTTCGCCAAGGCAAACCGAAACCACGTCGATCATCAAGCCAGACAACATTCCCAATCTCGCGCAGACATCAAACGGCTGAGCAAAGATGGATACAGCGGCTCGTCGGGCTTTGGAAAATGTGGAAATGCGTCACAGGACTTCGTTGATACATCTGCTTCTTGCGATGGGAACCTGAACCAAAAGGAGCCTTTACAGCCTTCTGGGGAGCAGAAATGAGCTGAAGACTGAAGGCTTACGCTGAAGCAGCCTCAGCGTCAAAGGATTCAATTGCTGCCGGATTCGCGTACTTTCGCCCCAAGTGGTCGGAGACCGCACCCACACAAGGGGCGAAAACCATCTGCCTTTGTTGGGGTTTAGAGTCCGGTTACGGATGAGGCTCCAGCTGCTTTGTCATGGATTGCAAACGGCTGAGCCCCAGCAAGAGAGTTCTCTGAACAACATGAGCGACTGTAGCACAGTCGGTGAAAACGTCGGGACAGCATGGTGCAAGCTCTGAAAAGCCTCCGTGGAATAGTGAATCGATCTGCCTACGGCTAGACTGGTCGCTCATTTCGCCCAGCACCCACCTGACCGAACCCCGAACCGGAACCCCTCCTAAACGACGCACAGAACTTCTCAAGCTCTCTCCGACGAGGTGCGTGAAGTTGAAACATGAGGCTAGCAGCGCCACCTGATTTCAAAAACGACTTCAGGAAGTTGGGAAGTGGGGTGCTTCGGGTTTTTGAGTTCAGCCCTTCAGGGACCATTGTGGTTCTGCTTCGATAAAGCACATCTTTAGCCACTTCTGGCCGGGCTGAATATTCGGCCCCGGCCGAGAAGCGTCTGGAACAAGTGGTGGAAGCCAGCACATTCGCTTGGGGAGCAATCCGATGCTGCGGGGCCAGCCTGAGGGCCGGTCCCGAGGGTGAGGCAAACTTCCCATTGTTTTCCTCCCCGGCAAACCAAACCAAGAGCCCCCCTGCCAATTCCTGGAGACCTCCTGAAGTACGGTGACAGGCCACTAGTGCGCGCCGAACAGAACAACATCGGAGTTCTTATGCCGTACGATGTGCTTTCTTCGCTTCTTTCACAACGACGGCCTGCACATTCCTAATGCGCAGCGTGCACGTGCCAAGCCCTCTGCTCCTGTTGCAGAAAGTTCCCTTGCCGCTCTTCCGTTCATGGACCACCGTGTTGCATACCCATGTGTGTTGCATCCCTGGTCTATCTCAGATATGTGGTGGGATACAAGATGAAGCCTGGAACGAGGTGACACCGATTTCATTGTACCCTTCTGTACTGATGCCTGGCTCACACGCTAACGCCTTGTAGCAAGCAGAACTTTTCCCTTGATGCTTTGATTACAAGCTGGTTCGACTGGGGTGGCATGACGGCTTGTGCAAGCCGTGATCAGTGCGGAAGGTGCAAAAGATGCGAAAAAGTGCTAAATTAAAGGACATCTGCTCTTTCCTGAGCACCCCAAAACCGAAGTCGTCGGAATGCGCCGAACCTCCAGAGCTGACGCACCCAGGTGCTGCACAGCCTCTCAGGCATGTGGAGGACCGGGCTCTGATGGGTCTTCAGATTGGGCACAGGACGTCAGGCTGAACATGTTAGTTGGGTTGGGGCATGGACTCGAACTCTACTTTACTAAGGGTAACTTTAGAACCCGACTTGGAAATTCATCTCCCGAGCCCGATACGAAGAAAGGCAGCACGGGCATCACTGCCTGGGACAGGGACAGTCGAGAGAGGTTTCGGGCGTCCGAGTTACAAACTTGCATGCTTCAACTACGCGCGGCTCAGCACGGCACCATGTTCCCGATTGCCATGATTGCTTGTGTCCTGAGTCGTTGGTTTCTGCTTGATGGTGGGATGACCAACTTGCCGGCATCATCCCAAACAATCACGGGGGTTCTTTCTTTACGTATGTCAGGAGAGGACTCCTCCAAATGACGCAGAATGACCTACAGCATAATGACCCTCTTTACCCGACCTGTGCGTGCAGCCTGCAAAGACACGTGAAAGTCTTGGGCCCCGGCAACAAAACCGCTGCCACTCCAGGCTTAATGTTCATGATGCAAGCAACGGTGAGGAGTCTGCAAAGCAGGTGGAGTTCTCCTGCCTTAGCAGCATGAATGTCTTGATGTCTGCACTGTTCGGGAGCGACAGTTGTCCAGACGTCACATGATTTCCCAGAAACTTGGAGATGGGAATGTGACGAATGCGGCAAAGCAGCTCAGACCGCAGGCGCCATGGATGGGAGATATGCACGCAGAGCCTGCTTTGAGTCTTTTGTTTGCTGTTTGCGCAAGTCGAAGGAAGGAAACATCTGCAACCGGCATGTGGCCGCACACAACATGCCTCGAAGAATGTTGAAGACTCCACAGCAGCCCGTCCTATGGACACCTGCCTATGCACCAAAGCAACACAAAACCACCGCAAAGCGTTGCTCCCGCTGTACGGTGGAAGTTTGTGTTAAGCAAGTTTATGAGGCAAGACATTAGACCCTGAGTTTGAAAAAGTAAGTATATTGAGGGTCTCGATCGCCTCCCATGGAAGCTGGAGGGCTGGAGGGCTGGATGTCTGAAGGGTTGATTAGGGTTAAGTAAGACATGCTTCAGGACTCTCACCTCAAACCTAATTACCTTTCTTCACCAATCCTTTCTTCACCAATCTGCCGATTTAAGACATGTCCCAAACTCTCGTGGACCGTTGAACCAACTTATCATAAGTTTTGACCGCCCAGGTAATTGTCGCATTCCGTCCCGAATTCGTGAACCCTGAAGCCGCAGAAGCCCAAACCGCGCCTCGGACAGGAGGGGTTCGCTATCGAAGGAGGCTGCAAGCTATTTCTGCGCCCGCTGAGCCGCAAAGCGATGCGAAACGATAGAGGCAAATAATTGGTCGAACAGGTTCAAGACTCACGTTCAGAAACATCGAGGGCTCCGTCTACATGAGCCTCTTGGAGAAATTCTGCCTGCAAACCTTATCCCTTCGTGGCCAAGCCAAGCTCGCTTGCATTGCTTACATGTTTTGTGGTCGTGGCACTTTGCGCTCCATGTCGCAAGTGCCAAATTCGGCTGGGTCCATGGGCCAAAGGCTTACCGGGTTCACCAGCATCGGCTAGTTTATGAGCTACTCACACTCTTGCGAGGATGTCTGCGATCGGGACAGCGTTGTGGAGTGTGCGGGGGGTATAAGGCCTGGTGCGGGAGGCCACTTTGAGCTGTGCCGCGAATGAAGACGACGACTAACCACGTGAATCGGACTCGACTGGCCTCCCACATATCAGGCTATCATCGGCAAATCAATACAAGAGCAATCGGCTGCCAGCCATCAGGAGCTCACGTCATGCGCCGCGGAGTCCGCTGATCTGCAGCAAGAGACAAATCCCCAATCGATGGTGCATGAAACATGCAGAAGAGGCTCGACGCCTGTGCGAGCCGCAAGCGGTGGTATGTGAAGAGATCTTGAAAATGCCACCTCCCCTACAACAGATGCTCACACACCTCCCAATCCATCTCTCGACACCACGCAACTTCGAAGATGCCCAGGAATATCATCTGCACTTGCACTTGGGCAACAAAAGTATGATACACTACGATTCAATGCTGCAATTCACGAAACCCCCAGAAACAAGTGTCGAGTCCCTACTCTCTGAGAGTCGAATGTTCTTAGCGCACATAAGAACCCCTCTCAGATTCAAACATGGGAGTCACTCCGCAGTCGCCACAGCTCCGAAACTGGCCTCTGAGCCTGTCGGAGGAGCCGGACCTGCGAGGGTTCTTAATACAAAGGTTCTTGGAGGGTTCTTGGGGTTCTAAAGGGCTTAAGCTCCGACTTCGATGGGCTTGGAGAGGCAATGGCAGTCCCCATGCCTGTGTTGCAGGTGTCTCAGGCATCTTAGGTGCGACGTGTTCCCGTGAAAAATCTGCAGAGGCCCCGGCTCCTCTCGCTCACGTTCGCGGCGTGGGCCGCGGGCGGTGCTTTGGCCCGAGCTCCGCGGGGCGGGGCGCGTCCTTTTGGGAGTCTTCGAGTCGTCCGGCCCCCCACTAGAGCGGCCCCTCAAGGACCGAAATCAATCTAGCTGGCATAACGGCATAGCGATCCCTCCTGTCGGATGGGGCAACAGGACAGGGGTGCCCTGTCCATTTGGGGGCTGCCGGCACCCGAACAAAGTTAGTTAGTTTCCTCCTGTCGGATGGCCTGCGCCTTTAGAAAGAGTGCAATAGGGCCATAGGGAATCCCTCAGGGGGTAACTTAGCCCGGCTTAGCCCCCGAAACTTTCATGAAGGGCCAGAGCGTCCTGTCCAGCAGCTTCTGCTCGTCCCTTGCATCAGCTGATGCCTCCTCGTCGAGAAACAGACGATTGAAACACCGTGTGTGACCCAATGTACAGCCAGCCGGTACCCTGGTCAGGAAAGTCGGACCCGAAATGTTCGTGGCTCTGACATACCACGGGAGAGTTCCAGACCCCAAGCTTTCAGCCTGCGGTGTCTGAGCGCTTCGCCTCGGAAAGCGCCATACTCTCTCCAAAAAGCATGGAAGGTGGATTTGAGCTCTTGCTCTGTTTAGGGGCTCCTGTGGGAATGCACGTGTGAAAAATATATAAAGTACATATATATATATATATATATATGGTCACCCCCCCCCCTACGACAGACCCTGGAATTGCATTTCCAGTCTGTCCAGGAAGGGGGCGGAAGACCAACACTCCAAAATTCCTCGAGTTTCCAAAATTCCAAAAATCCAAAAACTCCAACCCAAGTTTCGGATTTTTGGAAACTCGAGCGGGAGCCTCAAAATCCAAAAATCGAGCAAAATCCTCGACTTTCCAAAATTCCAAAAATCCAAAAACTCCAACCCAAGTTTCGGATTTTTGGAAACTCGAGCGGAAGCCTCAAAATCCAAAAATCGAGCAAATTCCTCGACTTTCCAAAGTTCCAAAAAAACACATTTCCAACCCAAGTTTCGGATTTTTGGAAACTCGAGCGGGAGCCTCAAAATCCAAAAATCGAGCAAATTCCTCGACTTTCCAAAATTCCAAAATCCAAAAATTCCAACCCA